AGAAAATGCGAAAAGCTTATAGTATCTTCTTTAAAATTGAGATAATGAAATGAAAAAAATTCAGCTGACTGTTAGAAGAAATTAAATTCAGATATACTGAATAGTAGAACCCAGCGATGAAATCTAGCCGGATCTATCTGGCTCGCGTGAAGCGGTAGTGCCAGCAGCGGGAGGCTCTGCCCACCCACCGGTACATTACATCCCATTTTTTACCCTCTGCGCATGCGCAGAAGAAGTGTTAGCATGCTCCCATTCCCGAACCGGTAACAAAGGTAAATGGATTTCACCGCTGGTAGAACCAATTATCTAGAACAGGGTTGCCCAACATACAGCCTGCCAAGAAGCTTTGTATGGCCTGCTGGTATTACACCTAGATATTATCTATCTTAAAATTGTCAGAGAACCTAAATGCATTGCTGCATTATTTATTTTATCATGTAATTTAATACTGTATATGCAATTCCTAGAGAATCCATCAGTTTGAAATTAAGAATCATTAGTATGTCAACACACCAGATTAAGTTCAAGATACTAACATAGTTCTGGCATTCATGCCCGAGTGGCTGGGTTGGGCATCACCTTTGCAGACCTGGATGGGTCAAAATGAAGTCAAATTCCATTAAGAAAAAGTTGTCATTTGTCTATGATAATATAGGTCTGATTCTATTATTGGCTCTGATTAGGTTTTACTGCTTCAAAAAGTTGTAGGGCAGCTGCTGAAGGTCATGGCTACAAGGGCTTTTGCCCAAACTTGGCTGCTACACCAGTTGTAAGTTTGGTAGGGCTGCAAAGCTCTGATTCACATCCTCATATTCTCACAAACTTGTGCCATGGGCTGCCTTTGAAATTTATTTGGAAACAGGATTCTGCAACAGTTGTAAGTTATTTTAGTGTCACTGTAACTTTGAACAGTAGCTAAACTAATGGTTGTAAGATGAGGACCTTTTATACTGTATTTTTTTCACACCAAAATGACTTGTATTTCTGAATTGTTTATGGAGGCAGATGTGGAAAAATATTTGTATTCCATCCCAAAGATCCTGTTTGCCAAGATAAACACAGAGTTGTAAATCTTTCAAAAAACTAGCCACAGTTGGAGTTTCTGGACGAGAAGCTCTCACTATAAGCAGTTTCAATTTCCAATTGCTATTCCAATTTCAGTGAAAATATATTATGTATGAATTTCTTCATGAAGTCTGCTAAATGCTAATATTGCTGAGCATTTTACAGTAAATAGTGTTTAGAAATCACAAACTATATCTATAAAGCAGAGCGGTACGTGGGTCACTTCATCTTAAGCATCTTAATTTATTGAAATTTTGATCTTGAAATTTCTGGATAGAGTTCCAAGATTGCCAAGGGAATTTTACTTCAGGATCCTTAGCTGTGTGCGAAGAGCAGAAGTTTACTCAGCAATATAGACTGTATAAAAGCTAGGATTTGGCTAAGTTTCCTTCAATTCTAGCTGGAAAGAAAGAAAATGTCTCTTTATCCGTCTGTCTAACCTATGTCCAAAGGCTTTATTTTGTGTCACGATCTGATGGTTCTCATTCCGCTTATGCCTGATCAACCTGATAAAAGAAGTTGGTTTGTGTACAAGGTGAATATTACATGAAAATGTGGGATTCTATTTAGTTTTGTTAGCTAATACATTTTCTTTTGCTTAGAGAATTTTTTGTTTCTGCATATCCTAAAATTTTTTAGGTGAGTGCTTGTTCCCATATCAATTCCCACTGTAGACCAGGATTGCAATCACTCATCTTCCGCTGTCCCCCAACCATAAACAAGGAGTAAACCATGATCTGGTGGATTTGGATAGCAAGGGAAAGACTGTGGTGTGTCTATGCCCACAGGTAGCCACAGGTAATGAGAGAAGCATGGTTGGTAATAAGCAGGACAACTTGTGTGAATGTCTGTCAGTTTATCAGTAGACCAGATAGGAAATGGATTCTACTTTATTGTAAGGCTACATTAACAGACTCTTACAAGTATGAAAGTACAAACCCCATGTCTCTTTTTTACAGCCTGAAAAGAAGTTTCTTTTTCTATCCATTATGCAGCTACAGGTTACAAACACATACAAACACATACACTCTTTTATCTGATTATTCCCTAGGCAGCATCTCTTCCCCTCATCCCTGAAGGTCATTCCCACATACTATTACACTGTCACTGTGCTGGAAATAAGTCAAGACTGATAATTTAAAGATGTGCATACTTGACATTTTAGCATTCTAACACTTAACACCAATACAGAACTCCCCAAGTAATTTTTTGCACAGAACTCATCACTTATGTATTTATGTCAACTCACTTACCGCTTCTTATTGTTTTAAAGTAAGATAAGTAATCATGACTCTAGTTCAATGTGCATGGCTGTTAAGTATTTTCTACAACATGAATCTTCCTATGCACATTAGCTATCATTTGCCTGTTCCAAATGACCACAAGGATTATTTATTTAATAAACTTGTGTGTCACTGCAAATATAAACGTTAGACAAATTACATAGCAGAATTCAAACAAGAAAATATTAATAAAAATAAAAATATTGTTATGTTAGAAAAACTGATTCAATATTCACTGTTTTTTGTCTTAAACAAACCCCTTTGAACTCTCTTCCTGAAATAGCAGACCTATGCAGTAAAATTTTTGGTGACTTACTTATGCAACTTTAAACATTTAATTGGTGATTGATGCTCACTGATTTTAATTATTAGCTTTTTAAAGTTTTTATAAAGCTTTTGAAGGACTAAAACTGAATCAATATTCTGAAAATAGTAACTTTCGTCTCTTAATTCCTTATCAATAGAAAAACATGTTTTTCAGTGGTTTCTTTAGTCAGGATTTGTAATAATGTCAAGAAAATTCTACCAATAAATCATAGATGGCTGTTTAGATGTTTTTAAGCTACATTATATCACCTGGGCCAATCAAGTGAAATTTGCAGGAGTTCTGAATTAACGGGAACTTGCAGTGTGAGTTATATATTCGTATATAAACATACATACATACATACATACATACGCATTCTTATATAAACATACAACTATCCTTTCATATATAATACTGTATATGGTAATAGGTTGCACAATATGTGAGTCATAAAAAGTAAGGTTTCATGCCAACACATATCAGTCTCTTTCGCACAAATTTTTCAGGACAGCCGAAGCTGACTCAATTATTAACCTTTTTAATATTTTTCGTTCATAGCTTAAAATAAAGGAGGAGTTCTTAGCAAGGAATAATTATTTGGAACTTGTACCATTAATCCAAAATATAGGTAAATCAAGAAGTGTAAGTATACAAAACTTTTGTATATGACCTTTAACAATCATGTACTTAATCTAATTGTTTTATGAGTTCATATGAGTAAGATAAAATTCATTTACATTTTTTTTTTAAAAAATGCTTAATTTCATAACTTATGTGAATTCAGTTACTTGTTGGAAAATATCACTAGTTGGATATGGTGAGTAGGCATAACAGAGCATTAGGAAAGATTAAACATTGATGTGTTGCTGTATATGTCTCTGTCAGGACTCCACAACTTCTGGTTTCTCCTGCTTGTGAACTATTGGGAGCTGGGCTGCCTTGTTTCCAGACAAGTCAGAATTTGAGCATTTAGTACTTTGCTTGCAAAATATGTTCCTTCCCTACAGCTATGACTTAATTGCTGGGGGGGGGGGTTAATACTCATATAAAAAGTGGCCAGGTTCTTCACAATAAAAATATAGCCTTTACGTGATATAACTTTTCTCAAGAAGATTGTTTAGCTCAGCTGCATGAGTTCAACTTTGAGGAGGAAAGTGTGTTGGATATGTTTGCCACCTTCAGTTATTTGTAGAAATAATAGAAGGTGGGATATAAACAAAGAAATAATTTTAAGAGCTTACTGCTCCATTGTTTCACATATGTAGATAGAGGGGAAAGGAGCAATAAAAAATCAAGCATCTTCCTTTCCAATAAAAAAAAGTTGCATTCTCTTCAATCTTCTATAAGTGCCTAGGCATAAAATGATTAATAGTCATCATTTCTAGGGTGCCTTGATTGATAAAGTTGTCCCATATTTCATCTGATACTGTCTCTGAACTAATCATTAAGCCACATCTTGTATTACCAACTGAAATGAAGCAGCACACTCCCATACAGATGTTTACACTGCTGTAGGCAATGGGTTTCACAGTTGGTAGTCAGTTGCTTGACTAGATCTTCAAAGTGAGCTCTCAAGCATGCCATAAAATTAGTTATACATGCCTAGGCTATGAATCAGAAGTGGAGTTGCCCCATTTTATCGCTTATCTACTTGTGTTAATTAGAAATTCTATGTGTATTCAGTCAGTGAGGAAGACATCTAGTCTCAGAAACATATTTTTCACATTCAGTGAGGAAAGCAGTAAATTTGCTTAGATTCCCATCGCACTTGTTGAGCATAGAAGTTGTTTATTCATATGAGAGGGCTACATCATCTTCAGCAATATTTACAAGGTCTCAGGGAAGGACTGGTATAGGACTCTCTAGTTGTGTTAGATTTATTTCTTTCTACTTAGGTTCACTAGTTCACTGTCTGGCTCTCTGGTTTATCTGGGTCACCTTTGGATTATGATACATAATAGTGGGATTGCAAGACAGTCTATATATGTCTATATATGGATGGCTGGCTCCAGGCTCTTTCTCTGGAACTTGGCACTTTTACAGTAAGACAGAAAATCCAAATAAGTATGTAATATACTTTATTGTAGATACAAGCAACGTTAGTAATAGTGAACTTCTACAAAGGTTAAGACTTTCAAGCAATACAGATACAAACATACACACATATACTTGCACATATAAACACACATTTAAAATTTGAGCTTATTTCTTCTGCCCTTTTGTAACATCCTGCTTATATTGTTTTTCTCAGGCTGGGAAGTTGTCTTCATTTGGTTTTGTTTTACAAAATGGTTATGCCTGGTCTCAAGCTCCTTGTATCTCACCTTCCAGAGCTACCGTCATAACTTTTTCAAGTCTCAATCTCTCCTCGTCTCTTCTGGAAGCCTCTTCTTTTTCCCTGGTTCCATCTGTTCATTGGTGAAGTTTAAACACGGCTTCATTTTTATCTGTCTGTTCTGATTTCCTGTGAGAAGATATCAAGTGACGGAGGAGAGAAACAGATGACTGGGAGAGTATTTATCTCCTTAGCTTGTACTTTGCTTCAGTCTTATCCCAAATGGTCCTAAACAGAACAGATGGTAAAAGTGAATAGCAATTCAAAGTAAAATGATAGGTGAATGGTATCAGGTTACCATGAATGAGTTTTAGTTTCCAGAACCATATCCGTTACGTTCAAGAGTTTTGAAGCAGTTTGTGGATATCAACTTTTCTCTGACCTTTGAGGAATTGTGACAACCAAGCATAATCTTAGAGGACTGAGAAAAGCCACTTTTTTCCTATGTTCAAAAAGAGATTTTAAATGTATTAATGTACAGATAGTCCTCGACTTACAGCAGTTCATTTAGTGATCACAGCACTGGAAAAAGTGGCTTATGACCTTTTTTCACACTTAAGACTGTTGTAGCATCGTCTTGATCATGTGATCAAAATTCAGCTGCTTGGCAAGTAGTTCATATTTATAACGGTTGCAGTGTCCTGGAGTCATGATCAGCTTTTGTGATCTGACAAGCAGAATCAATGGGGAAGTCAGATTCACTTAACAACCATGTTACTAACTTAACGATGTCAATGATTCACTTAACAACTCTGGCAAGAAAGGTCTTAAAATGGGGGTAAGACTCACTTAACAAATGTCTGATTTAGCAACAGAAATTTTGAGCTCAGTTGTAGTCATAAGTTGAGAACTACATGTACATATATTGATTTAAAATGTACATACTTTTATTGAAATTTGAAACAGGAAGATCAGGCTACAGTATGTACGATAAAGTGGACTAAGAAATTTGGTTATAATATATAGATGGATCAATGAGAAATGTGTGGTTAAAAGGGTTGAACTTTTATTTATTTATTTATTTATTTATTTATTTATTTATTATATAATCAAATTTTGAGACCACCCATGTTCCCCACAGAGTGAGTGACTCTGGGAGGTGTACCATTAAAATTCTATGCTGCTCAGAGATGGGTAGTATAGAAATGTAATAAATAAAGAAAAATACATAAATAAAATCAACAACATATAAAATATTATTTACATTGCATTATGATCTCAAAGAAAACCTTTATAATGTAATATCATTAGTACATGATGCCAGAAAAATTATCTAGCATGTTCAAATCAGTGGTGGGTTTGCTCCCGGTTCGGCCCGGGTCAGGCGAACCGGTAGTGGTGATGATGTGACGTCAGGGAACCGGTTCTCTATGACTGTGAGCTGGGCTCTCCTGCCCGCCCCCCTGTTATACCTTTATTTGTCGTTTTTTTAGCCCAGCTGATAGGTGCGGCAGAGTGAATTGCTGTGCCTCAGCTGGGCAGAAATCTAATGTGCAGGTTCCGTGCAAAGCGTGTGGTAACACCAGTTGGAACCCACAACTGGTTCAAATGTATGTTGGAAATACGAACAACATGAAGGGGCATTTTATCATGATTGATGGACATGTAAAAAAGCTAAAACAAATTGGATTCAAGTACATATTTGTTACAGCGAATTTTAAAGATCAATATTCAATAGAGGCCAGAAATTTTCCTTTTAGGATTAATGGATAAACAATTAGAAAAAAGCTATAGAAGATTATTTCAATATATGATCACTGTGGCAAGATTACGATATGCAGAGAAATGGAAAGATTCTTATGATATATGGTTTTGATGATTAGAAAGGATAGATTGTAGAAAGAAGAGTAAATGATGTCACTTTAGAAGGAGAGGTTAAAATATATTTGTCCCTTTGGCTGCTGTGAAGAATATATAGAAGCCACTTCTATATATCTTTTTTCTTTCTTTTCTATTTTTCAACTTCTTTTCTTGCACTTTCTCCTTTTTATCTAATTTCTTTCTTTATTCTTTACTTTATCTTATTTTGTGTCAGTTTTTATCTCTTACGCTTATACCAGGCAAAACTTGAGTAGGTTACTAAACCCACTTAGTTAGTGGGCATTTAGAAAAGAATGCATTGTTTGGTAGAAGCAGTGTGACTTTATCCAAAATAAATTAAACCAAACTAATCTGATCTTTTCGGAGAGAATGACTTTCGGAGAGAATGAATCACTTTCGGTACTTACAAAAAAAAAAAGAGGCTGTGCTGTGTTGAGAGGCTATGCTAAAATCAATTGGTGCAAGCTGCCAGGAAAAAAACATTCCATTCCAACTACTTCTAGAAAAGGCAACCAGCTCAGCTGATTCCATCCCTCAAAGGGTCCTGAGCATCTGACACCCCCCACTTTCTACAAGGAACCCAATTAAGAAACAGCTCATTCATTCTAACCTGATGAAAGATGTGCAGCAGATCACACTAAATGGGCCAGCTCCACTTCACTTGCATCCATTTTGGTATTTGCACCAGGTAGTTGGTCACATCTACTTTATCTAAATGCAATGAACTCAGTATACCTTGATTTCAACAAATTATGACATGAGATTCTAGTAAAAAATGGCTACATGTCTTGGTGCATCATCAACAAAATATAAGCCAATATGATGCAGTTGCAAAAAAAAAAATACTATTCTAGGCTACATCAATAAAATACAGAGATATTATTATTCCTCTCAGTTCTGTATTGGTTGGACCTCATCTAGATTATTGCATCCTATTTTAGACATAATTTTAGGAAGGACATTGACAAACGAGTATGCAGCCAAGATTATAAGAGGCTTCAAAGAAAAAAATATATGAGGAACAATTGGGTATATTCAATCGGGAGAAGAGAAGACTACAGGAAAACATAGCAACTGTCCTCATGTAACTAAATGCTGTCATATAGAATACAGGCTTCAGAATTGTTTCAAAATACAGGAAAGTTTAAATTAGAAGGAAGTAGATTTTGATTAAAAGACAAAAATATCGTAATACTACAATTCAACTGATGGCTTCAAGAATCAATTAGTGGTATTCAAACAGAGACTGAATGGCTATCCATTAAGGACGCTGTAGTACTGGATTCTTAGACTGGACAGAGGGTTGAGCAGCAATCCAAATCCAAACAGTAAGTCTGTACTGATGGGTGAAGATCTACCAATGGATCAGATCTTTGCCTTCTGCCAGTGCATCTCTAAAATCTGTTCCAGAAGATTAAGGAACTCTTAGAACCAGATTTTGGGGGAGTATGGGGAAATGGAAAGAGTAGGAGACATAATGGAACTCCTATTACATGAACTGTGTGTAATGTTAGCTCTAGCCCAATAGATTTTGTTGGGGATGGAGAGAACTTCCTAATTTTCCTTCATTTTCAACTAAATAACAAGGTTGGTTAGACATTTCTTTTTGCAAATATGTATCTTTTACAGTGTTCCAAACCAGATGTTACTTTATATTTGGAATGCAGAGTTATAATTTTAAAACCTTTTCACCAAAGATGTATGGTGAGAGGAAAAATGAACAAAACTGAGGAATCCTTTGTTCTCTTCTAAAGGAGGAAACATTTGTGTCATTCCAAAGCAAATAAGCAAGCGAGAAATATCCCATATTATAGTGAATGTATTATTTTGGGATATTACATTTTTTTACATAGATGTTTCATATATTTTTTCCTTTTTATCCACTTCAGCTTATAAAGAGGGTTAGGGTTAATAGATGGGTCTTCATTTGTTTTAGAATTAAGGAAGTAATTATGATTTTTGATAGAGCAAAAACATGTCCTAATTGCACTTTGGCCTAATTTCACGATGGTGAATATTCTTAGCCAGAAATATGCCTTTCCAGTGTGTTAATTGCTCCTAACAAAGAAGTGCCCAGAAAAAATCTTGTTGATTGTATTATTTTTTCCATTTTTTTTTTGACCAGGTGTGTAAAACTGCATTTTTGTTCACTCTGAGTACATTCATTTCCTTTGAAAGCATCTTTATTATTGCATTGTGTTGTCATGTTTTATATGAAAATTATCCATTTTTGTAGCACATGTAAGCCACAGACCTGTATTTTTAAAAGAAAGTACTAATTTCAATTATGTAATTATTTCAATATTTGTTGTATAATATCCATGCCTACCTAACCATCAGTTCCCTTTTTGGATAAGCAGTGGTATGCAGAGGATAATAAGGGGCAAGAACTAATAAGCCAAAGAAACTCAAGGCATGTAATGAGCTGTGTGAGCAAGCTCATTATATACTTGCAGCAACCTCAGCCAAGGCAACAGAGATAAGATAAATTTCAGACCATAGCAGGAATGTAATTTGGGAAATCTCTCAGACCTGACACTCCCTAGTTCTGTTTAAGATAAAGATAGAGAGGAGGGGGGCACACTCAGAGTTGCAAGATTATGTTACTGAACTCTCTTAATAAAAGTAGTTTTAGTATTCATGTCTTGAAACTGTTACAATTCTCACTTAGGATCTCACATTTAATTCAGATAAAGTTGATTGTAACTAAATCCCTTTGAAACAATGCAGTTACCTTAGAAGCAGTAATTTGAATAGTAATTAGCCATGATTAGCTTTAGCTAGATCAAAGTAGAATTGGACGTGTCTTTGCTATGAAGTGCTGACCAGTTACATGGAAATATACACCAAAATTACATTAAAGGACTAAATAATATAAGCACAGTTCTATCAGCATCTCATATCAAGAATATCATAGGATGTGCATTTTAGTATAGTAAAATCTTTTTTCACTAAAAGGGAGTGAATGCAGAAACATTCTTACTACAGAATATTTGTTATGTAAGCTTTGCAGAAGAACATGCTCTGTGTGTGTGCGCGCGCGCATATGTGCAAGTGCTTAGAGAAACTGGTTTCTTTTTAACATTTGTTTCATAAGTTGACATGTTTGACTGAAATAAATCTATTCATTCTTAGCTGTGCTCAGTTTTACAATTGCTGTTTAGGCAAGTGCTGATTGCAAAGAGCATGGTTCCACCTTCCATTACCTTATATGAGAACTTAAATTTTGTACAAAACATCTCCTTACTGATTGTTATGTAAATTTAGTGATAGGTTACATTGATCTTGGACTTCCAGCATACCTGCCTTTTTCGGCTGAAGAATAAGAAAATAAAGGATTTGTTTCATGCTCCCGTTGTTTCCTATGATGAAACACTCAAATGTATTTGAAGCTTGTTCCACTAAAA